ATATATATATATATATATATATATATATATATATATATATTGTGTAACAGTAAATAACAATATTTAGAATTCTCATTTCCTAGCATATTCACATTTTGTAATATCGATCTTTTTGTTTTCTTCATCACTCTTTCCTTCGTATGGCGAAGTGGACCATGGTTTTCCAATTCAACTTGTTACTTGTAATTTTTCTTGTGATACGATTCTCTGAAGCTAGTGGGCATAACATGTTCGGTATGTTTAGGTCTACTAATGATAAGCAAGAAGGCAATAGCTCGATATGGGCCATTCTGGTCGCTGGTTCAAAAGGGTACGATAACTATCGGCATCAGGTGACTATTTCATTTAGTTTTTTGTTTATTTGTTAATTATGATCATTTTTAATGTACTCATTTATGATTGTGTGTTGAAAGATTTAAGAAAAAAATATAAGATAACATATTATATGTGTAATCAATTTAGGCCGATGTTTGTCATGCGTATCAAATACTTACCAAGGGTGGGTTGAAAGATGAAAACATAATTGTCTTCATGTATGATGACATTGCAAATAATCCAAGCAACCCAAGGCCTGGTGTGATAATCAACAACCCCAAAGGCTCTGATGTCTATGCAGGTGTGCCAAAGGTACTGTATGTTAACTATAAATTCTTGTCTCAAATTTTACTAGTGACTGTTTGGATGTGCAATATTTACGAAAAAAAAAGGAAATTACCTATTTACAACTCTTTTTTACACTATTTAAAGTACTTTTTTTATCTATTATCAGAAAAATAAGTAGTTTCCTAACTCGCTTTTTTAAAGAAGATATTACAAGGTAATTGATGAAATTGCAAAGATCCTTTTTAATCTATTGAAATCTTTTTGCCACATGTAACATTCTTATTTATTTTGCCACATGTAAATTTATGGTTATTTTAAATTAATTTTTATTACACATGTCATTTTATTAAATTTTAGATAGTGTTTAAATTCAATAATAAATTCATATCAATTTCATTAATAAACTTTCTTTTTAATTTCAAAATTACTAAATTAAATATTCATTAAATTTCTTTATTTATTTATTTAAATTACTTGTTTAAATTTAAAAGAGGAAAAAAAAACACTTTAATTTTTATAATTCAATATTTTTTTATTTTTCTTATAAATTCATACTTCTCAAATGCTTACAATTTTGTATTTAGTTTTTTTCTTTTAAATAAAGTCATGTAATACATGGGTCTCACACCTAGTTTATTAATAAAAAAATTGTATTTTCCTAGTTCTTAATTTTATCATAATTAAAAAAGGTAAATGATGAGATTATAGAGAGATTTATTAATAAATAAATCGGATTTTCTTAATTCTTAATTCTATCATAATTAAAAAAGATAAATGATGAGATTATAGATGCATATTTTTCATATTTTATAATTCTTACCCAAAATTATTTTTATGTAAAGCTAAATGATGACGTTACAGATGATAGATTTATTAATTAATAAATTGTAAAATATGATCATAACTTTTTTTTTAAAAAATAATTTAATTAGAAACTAGGTGTTTTGCCTATGTTTTACATGAGTTCATTTAAAAGAAAAATTATATATGAAATTTAAAATTTTGAATTTATATGGAAAAATAAAAAAAATATTGAATTATTAAAATTAAAGTGTTTTTTTTTTCTTTTAAATTTAAACAAATAATTTAGATAAATAAATAAAAGAAACTAATGAGGCTTTAATTTAAATTTTTTGAAATTAAAAGGAAAGTCAATTAATAAAATTGATATACATTTATTATTTCGTTTAGTGCAATTATTACATTTAAATATTATATGTAATTTATTAAAATGAAAAAAAAATCAACAAATATGCCATGTGGAAAAAAAAATTAATTAAAAATCACCAGAAAATGACATGTGGCCAAATCAAGAAGGATGTGACTTTTGGCAAAAAGATTTTCATTTATTAGAGTAGAGTATAATTGTTATATGAAGAAATTGTTATAATTGAAATTTACATATTATAAGAATACATAAGATTTATTTTTTGTCATTATAACTATTAATTAACCAAATAATCACTGTTTTGCAATCATTCAATCAACCATTATTTAATTATCAAAACTTCAAACAGTTGACACACAATCTGTTCTTTTACAATTTTTTTCATCCAAACACCTTATAAGCTCAATTATGAATAGTGTTTAAAACGACGTATGAACCACTATAATCTAATCACATAACAATTTTTAATATTCAAACATAAATTTATGTTAGGATTACACTGGTAAAAGTGTAACCGCAGCCAATTTGTACGCTGTGCTTCTTGGCAATAAAACGGCTGTGAAAGGTGGAAGCGGGAAAGTTGTAGCAAGCAATCATAACGATAAAATCTTCATATATTACTCGGATCATGGCGGCGCTGGACTTCTTGGTATCACTTTTCTACCTTTTGTTACATTTGAAGAACATCATAGCAGTATATAATTTATATTAATTTATTAACATATTTCTCCTTTTAATTACCATAGGGATGCCAAACATGCCTTTTGTTTATGCGACTGATTTGATCAATGTTCTGAAAATAATGCATGCGAGAAATACATATGATGAGATGGTAAATCATAATTTCGCAATTGGTTATAGCCTATGGATGATCATGACAAATTAAATAATAATTTGAATGTAAACTTAGGTTATATACATAGAAGCATGTCAAGGTGGAAGTATTTTCCAAGGTCTATTGCCCGAAGATCTAAACATTTATGTGACAACTGCATCAAATTCAATTGAGGATAGTTGGGCCACATATTGTGCTGATACAAAGCCACCCTCACCTCCGGAATTCGATACTTGCTTAGGTGATTTATACAGCATTTCATGGATGGAAGACAGGTTTTCTCTTTTTCTCCAATATGAAATATAGTTTCATTTCATTAGCAACCCATAACAACATAGCAAAATGACTTTAATTTCATATAGTGATTGATGAAGGTTGTTGATTTGATTACTTATTGACCTTGTTTGTGGCGTTTTGGTTCTTAGCGAGTCAGAAGATTTGAGGCATGAAACATTGGAACAACAATATTTGAAGGTATTGGTATTAAGATTTTTTCCGTTTTCTTGATTTAATCTCAATTAATTAATGGCTTTTTAAGATACAAAGAGGATACAATTCCCTTGAACAAAGTCACACAAATGTTTGTAGGTAAAGAAGAGAACATACAACAACAATTCGTACCAGGGATCACATGTGATGGAATTTGGAACTCTACGCATAAATAATGAGACTGTTTCAGTTTATCAAGGTTCAACTCCTAGAAATTTCTCTGTGAATCCAGGTCCATCTTTCAGCTCCGTGGGTGTTGTTGACCAGAGAAATGCTGATCTTTATTCCATGTGGCAAAAGGTGTGTATGAAATTTTGTACCTAGAAAGAAGTAGAATTCAAACAGATAAATTTTTCAAAACAACTATGCAAAAATGAACTGATGTGAAATTCATATTGTGCAGTATAAGAAATCCACAGAAGAATCACAAAAGAAGGAACTACTAAAGAAAATCAATGAAATAAAGTCATATAGAGTACATTTGGATAGTAGTGTCGACATAATCAACAATTATTTGTTAGGCTCCCGACATAGATCAGTGAGGGGGGAAGGATTGGCCCTTGTGGATGATTGGGAATGTCTTAAATCCATGGTGGAAAGTTAAATTTGAACTTTGTATTTCTTTTAACATGATTTTCCTAGGTTTTTTTTTGTCATCTATTAATGTTTTGAACTTTTGATTGATTAAGGTTCGAACATTTGAGACGTACTGTGGATCATTGACTCAATATGGCATGAAACATTCACGAACATTCGCTAACATATGCAACAATGGTGTTACAAAGAAAGCCATGGACAAAGCTATAAAAGAGACATGTAGCTCACATAAGATGGGAAAATGGGATCCAAAAATTATTGGTTACAGTGCGTGATTATATGTAATGGAACTGGTGCTAGAAGGAATGAAGATGTAATTTATGTTTCTATCAAGGAAATTATAGTTTTACTACAGAAAAAAAGTTTGAATCATAAAAACAAGAATAAAGTCTTTTATAAAAACAATCTCAGAGCAAACGAAATCTATAATCTTCAAACACACCTATACATAAGAATTATTACAAAGACAAACATAACAAAATGATTTTAGAAACATCTAAGGTTTATAATGAGTAACTTCCATATTATAATAAAAGTTCAGAGAAGTGATATGATAGCTTCAAGAGAGAGTGTATGAGTTGTTAGAGTGAGTTATGATGGAATGACGAAGAAATAGAGCTTAAATACAATCTCTTTTCAAAGTTACCTCTTGCCCTTCCAAGTATAATCTAACTTTCATCACTACCCTCCACATTAGGGACTTATTCAAATTCTATCCATGATCATCCCATCAACAATCAACTCCATATCTTTAGCCCACTATCTAATTAGAGATAAAATGTTACCCACACACCAACCTAGCCAAGTCATTATTTGAATAAGAATAAAAATAATTAACATTACAATTTAATGTTGAATACCATAAGCATATTTTAATCTACTCCCTGAATCTTAGCTTGGCATTGATCAACTAATTTTAATTTTTTAGAAAGATACTGATGTTGTAACACATTTAGCGACTTGGTAAAAATATGTGTAGTTTTCTCATCTGAACTTATTTTATCAACCTTTACAATGTCATCCATCACTCTTTAACGCACAAAATGAGCATCATTCTCAATATGTATAGTACAATCATGGCACACATGATTGAATGAAAGCTACATGCTAAAATGTTACCATACAAAGCATGAAGTGGCAGCTGACAATCAACACGTAAATCTTTCAAAAATTTTATTACCCATAAAATCTCGCATGTAACAAATTAAAGTCAAGGATCTATATTCATATTTTGTATAGATGATATGGAGATTGTAGTCTATTTTTTTTTCTTTTCCAAATCTCCTAGAAATGAGAAGAACTCGGCAAGTAACAGACTTCCTAGAACATAGAAAGTTTCTCTAACAAGTATAACATACGCAACCCAAGACCAGGGCCGACCCAAGGGCAGGGCGAACTGGGCCACCGCCCAGGGCATCCATATAGGATAGGGCATCACATTTTTTTCAACTCTTACGGATATATGTAACTTGGACCAAAATATTGTCCACAAAAGTAGTCTAGTAACAAGGGCGTGATCTGAAACGTGAAATTAGAAAGAAGACGGCAATAACAGCTAAAAAAGCGCATGCCTAAGAAGACGAGGAGACTGGCCAACCGGGGAAGAATTACCGAGGAGCCCCTGAGAGTTTTCTGATTCTATCTTTTATATACCGAGGAGTGGGGGACTGAACATTTCCTTTCAAGCAAAAACATGAACTTTAATTTCCGATTCTTTCTTTCATATCGAGGGGCATTGTCTGAGGTTTTCTGTTTCTATCGTTCATATTGAGGGCAAGAACTGAGTTCTGTTTTTTTACTAATTTCTTTCAAACAACACTGAAAATCGCCTCTTTTTTTCTCTGTATAAGTTTTCTGATTGCTATATGTGTTTGTTTTTAAAGTTATCAAAAGTAAATTTTCTTCGGTAACACTTTTTCCCCGAATCTCGTTTCGCTTTCAGGGCAGCCTTCTGGCATTCTTTCTAGAGTTCTATTGTTCTAGCGTAAATGTTTCATAAATTATTGTTAAATAGCATTCTGACTTTTGTGAAGAGCGCCAGAGAAAGGTCAAGGTTTCCTTCTTGTCTTGAAAATTAAAGTTTGAGCCTCCGAAGTTCTTGAACCTGCAGTTGGGTTTTTTGCCCCTTTTGAAAATTAGTTAATCGAACTTTTTTTTTCTTGTTTTCACTTTATATATATCACTCTTCGTCTGTTCAAGGGTGTGGTTGAAATGCTCATTAATTTATTGATACTCCCAACCGCTTTTGATTATCTGATTCATAATTCGTCTCTTCGTCTCTTCGTCTGTTTTTAGGTTACAATTACATTGTGCATGCACAATTTCACTTAATATTTAAGGGTACATGTATCAAAAAACAAGATCTATGGCTTTTCAGTATTAATCGGAACATACTTTATGAAACAAAACTAATATCCTACTATAATTGAAATTACTAGTAAGAAAACATATCTTTAACATAATCATATTTGTTAATCTCTTGAGTTCTTTGAATGCTCCGTCGAAAGCAAGCATCGAAAGTATGAACGCCTCTAATGGTTCACACCCAAAAACTTTAAAACACTAGAATTACTATAGGAGAGAGAGATAGAGAAAGAGAGAGAGGATGAAGGAAGAGAATTTTGTTTTCCATATTTTACGTATGATACTACACAAAACTATGGTACCCAAGGGTCCTATTTATAGTTCAGGTAACTTGCAGATAAATCCATATTTGAATAATTAAATACTCGATTTTAATCCCTGTTAAAACGTTGTCGCGGGCTTCCTAAGCAAATAAAATTTATCACTGCTCGAATGCACTAAAAGATAGCCTAGGGAAGCAGGGTCGAATCCACAGGGACACAACCTAAAAGTGAATTCAGTTATGCTGCGACTTTCCTAATCATGTAATCAACACAACCTTGGTTATTCAAAATGTGTTCTATCTAAGGTATTGAGAACAACTAACAAACTCTAGTATATTCTATTTTACCTAATTAATTAACCAAAATAAGCTCTTCAGTTAATCCTAAATTTTTACTAATTTAATTATACAAACTCTTAATCAAATCAGAAAAACATCATTATGATCCGTGTAAAATTTCCAGCAATATTCAATATTTCTTACAAGCTTGGATGCGTAAAAATATGAAAATTTCAGTTTATAACAGAGTAAAATCCTAACACGAAACTGATCTGTTACTTGTTACTTATTACTAGTTGATTAGAATAATTACGGATTCCATTAATTGATTAATTAGATTGATTTAATCCTAAATTAGGTGATCAAGCTAAAAAGAAATAAAATCAAACATTCATGAAGATCAAACTGAGATATCTAGATACAATCTCAAATCAAAAACAAGATCTAATGATTAATTACATAAAAAGTACTAATCTTTGCATGAGTGGAATCTAGGGTTTAGTCAGACATGGATACAATATGATGAAAACTAATGAAAAGAAAGTTCAAACTATTAATTCTTACTAAACTAAATGGTTGAGATGATCCACAACCTTCAAATTGTAACACCCGTTTTCCAGAAGTATCAGCTAAAGGCATGTTGGGATCACAGATAAGGTTTTTCGAGAAAAGCCCTATGTCGCGGCGTGGTGCATGGATGCCCACGACGTGACAATAAGAAGGCCACGAAGTGGCATCTGCTGCAGCCGAAGACCATGATTTTAATGGTTTCTACCATATTTAAACACCTACATGCATTGGGCTTCGGCTGTAGCAGCCGAAGCCCATGATTTTTATGGCCACATTGTGATCCGAGAACTTGGTGTTCTTGGTGCACTTTAAAGAATAAGAAGGTTTTGGTACAAGGTTCAAGCAAGCAACTCTTCTCCAACCTTGGAATCATTCTCTGGACCATTTTTAAGGCTTCAAGTTCCTATCTTGATGGTTCTTTCTTTGTAGATCGAGCTTTCCTTGAAAGTTTTGGTCCATAAATGAAGTTTGTATGTTGGAATGAGATAAAGTTTGCAACTTTATGGCTCACCTAGGTCCCTTGAGCCTTATAGCTTTAAGATCTAGGGTTTGGTTAACATTTGTGAGCTTTGCATGAAGTTTTGACTCCATTTATTACCCTTTTTTGAGCTAGTTTGGGAGAGACATGCATTGGACATGCATGTCAATAAAGCAAGGATTTTGTGGTTCTTTAGAAGGCAAGGAATCCTTCTAGAAAGCTGGAGAAAAGCACTTAATGGATTAAGTCCTTAATGTAAAAATATGTCTTCTGGCAATCATCATGACATTGCCAAGGAATGGAGTTACACCACCGCCCGAGGCGGCGGAATATGCCGGGCTGTGCGATTTAGTTCTCGGATCACAAGCAAATTAAATATATATATCACAAGGTCTTCAACTCTCATTTAGATTATTTTTCCTAACAATCAACCGGTTTTAATTTCGGTTTTTGAGCCGTGTACTGCTACGTTGAAACTTCGAAAAATTCTAACGTCGTCTCACGTAGTCAGATTTAGGCGTTCTTTATATGCACAAGTTCACTTTTCCGATTACTACGAATTTAGTTCAGATTATTTATCCTAAAAATATTTTATTTTAAATTTCTATTTTAGCCCTATTTATTACGTTTCGACGTAAGATTTCACAGAGATATCATATATACCTAATATCTATAAAACTCACATAAACATATATATA